CACTACTGGAACTCCAACGGTATCAGAAACAAAATCCAAGAACTTCTAAACTATAAATTTATCACACATATTATCCTACTAAATTAAACTCACTTAAATCCAAAAATTAAACTTAAACATCCCAACTACTTTACCTACAAATGCGATCTACCACAAATCCGTAGCTCACCATCACATGGCGGAACAGCCATACTTGTATGTAAAAATATTATCCATCAACATACTAAACTTAATACATCTCTCCAATCAACCAATTTGCTGATAAAAATCGAAAATAAAGAACTACTATTCTCAGCAGTCTATAAAGCCCCCAACGTACAATTGAAAGCAACTGACTTCGACATTTTCACAAAAAGTGCTGAATGGATCCTGGCAGCAGGTGACCTCAATGCAAAACATACACTCTGGAACAGCAAACTCCATAATCTCTTCGGTAATACAATACACAACCATTTTCTACAAAACGACTATACCGTCTACGTTCCCAACATCCCTACTTAGTATCCAACAAACTCAAACTTCAGATTAGACGTACTAGATATCGCTCTGATCAGAGTACCTCTACAAATGATAGTAACAAACTTAAACATACTTTCATCAGATCATAAACCAATAAATTTAGAAATCTCAAGCTCGCCATTACATTATTATCACCAATCACTTCATCAACTGGAAAAAATGCACGAATATTTTATCAAATGACTTGACTACCATCAACCCTCTAACGAACAATAGAGAAGAAATTGAATCAGTAATAAAAATACTAACTAACAGCATACACACAGCCATAGACAAAAGCATTACAAACTCTAAAAATAGCCCAAACAGAAATAAAATTTCAGACTTCATCCAAGAAATAACACCGCAAAACAAAATTTGTCGAGAATGACAACTAAACTGAGATTCCAAAATTAAGAAAATACTTAATTTAAAAATCCAACTGATCAGAAACATGCTCAATACTTAAAAACAAGACTATTGAGACACATATCTAGACCAACTTAAACACAGCGATAACCCAAACTCAATTTTTAAACTGAACAAAATTTTCTTAATACACCAACCCACGAAACACTAAATACAAGGACAGAATGGACTCGTATTTTCAGCTAAAGGTAAACTAATAGCCGACTCTATCGAGCTCCAGTTCTCAAACAATTCAGGTCCCACAAATGAATCCGTTAAAAGTAAAATTCAAGAACTCAAAATTATCAATATTATTTTCAATCATTTTTACTACTCCTGGAACAATGGTCAGCATTATCAAAATCTACAAAAAAAGAAAGCATCAGGTGAAGACCAAATAACTTTACCGCTTTAAAATTTCTGCCCAGGAACAAAATCCTTACCCTAATGGAAAAAAAAGCACTCATCATATCAATTCTAAAATCGGGCAAGAACTCTAATCTACTGGAAAGTTACCGACCAATTTCACTTCTATCTTCAATCACAAAAATTATCGAATAATTCATCCTCTCAAAAATTAAACTAAACACAGACGGTAGTATAAGAGATGAGCAATTTGCCTTTCGTCAAAACCACTTGACCACTCAGCAACTCACAAGATTCATAGACCATCTAATTTGCTAATCATGAGCTTGTCGATGACGGGAACTCATAAGATTGCCCCCAACCAAAAATGCCAAGAAAGTAAAGAAGTTATCATTTCAAAAAATATTGGTCGCCCTCTGGAAAAAAATTCTTGGTAATACAATATTTTCATATTGGTAACCTAGTCGATAAACATACAAATATTGGAATCGAGCGATTTCTAATAAAATTAAAGACATCAACATTCTGCTATTTAAAACAATAAGTATGTAGGTAACAATTATTTATTTTACAGCACATAATTGATTTGTGGAGGAACTTGTTGAAACTAACAACTCAAAATTTCTTTTTTATTATTATTATTATTTTAGCTTTTGGATATCAATAAAATCTCTAGATCAATTATTATTTAGACAATGATTAATATTTTCCGTGAATGACAGGGAAGGCATTTTAGGGCGACAGTGGCTTATTAATCTAGCATGAAAACAATTATAATGTGTTTTGCTAGTTTTTTGATGGCGAGTATTTAAGGTTTTATGAAGAAATTCATTTGTAATTAACTAGGGAGCTTCGTTATAAGTCTAAGACTAATAGACTGGGAGGCTTGGATAAATCGTATTTAACCCTTTCGGTCCTGATTTTTTTTTTTTTTAGGAAAAAATCCATAATTTTTTTCCTTGGTTAAATAGCCATAAATAACTTACTCACGCAATTTCAGAAAAAAAAAATTATTTCTTACCAAATTATATGCAAATTTTCATCACATACTTCTACAAGTAGGTCGGGTTGTATAGGAGTCAAAAAAAAAAAAATTACCTACTTCTACAAGTAGGTTGGGTAAAAAAACAAAACAAAATAATAACAAAACCTTTTAATACGAGTATATAAAAAACAAAATAAACAACATTAACTTTTTTTTAATCAAATAATAATTTTTTTTAACAAACTATAAATATATCAAAATAAATAATCACAATATTCCTTTTCACTTTTTTATTAAAATATAATATAATGTTGATAGAAATATATGTATAGTACCTACAACATTATTCATGGTGAAAATTGTACTCCGTTGTTGCCCGACATACTCGTAGCAGTAGGTGATAAGACTGATAGAATTTGGCGGTAAAATTGTTGAGTTATTGATTATAACATATTGGTTATGGTTGTTACTTATATGTAAACATGTTAACTATTGATTTAAAAACTCCCAGATTTTTAAAATCATATGTTAGATAGTTTTGGCGGGAAATGCAATTATGATGATAATGACCTTATCATCACTATATTTATTTTTTATTTTTTCAAGAAAATAGTTAAAATATTACAATTATACTGAAATATCGATGAATATTATTATTTTTTATGAATGTCCATATATTAAGAATTATTATTTTATAACATTTGGTTTGCTGCGATGAAAACTTTATTTAAAACAATTTATCGAAAGTTGCCTACCTATACGAGTAGGTCAGGACCGAAAGGGTTAAGATGGTTTTGCAGGACCCTAAATTTGTGATATCTACTTTTTTTTTATATTCTTAAAATTTCAAGTATACCTACTACTAATATCTTTAACGATCATAATATTACTATAGAAAACTAACTTTTTAATTTGAATAACATTAGTCATCATTAAGTTTGCCTAGGTCAAAGTTAAAATTTAATGTTTTGCCTAAATACCATGGAAAATTCAAGTTTAAACCTAGCATTTAGATTTACCAAATGTTGCTTTTGTCTGTAATATATACTCAGTGCAGGTGCGAGAGATGTGCAGAAAATACACTCGCACAGGGCCTCGCACTTTTTGATTGGCTCTTGAACCTTGCTCTTCTATTTTGTAGTACAAGTATATTTTGATCCGGGGCCTCGGGTTTATAATCTTCACAGGGCCTCGCAAATCATAGCGTCGGTACTGCATACACATGTTGGATTTAAGACCTATTCTTGAAAACAAGTCTAATAATTACAAGCGATTATAATGTATATTTTCCACATAGCATATCATATTTACTGAACAAAAAACTTATAAATATAATATGAAAAATAATTAAATACATGATAATAATGAAATATAAAAAAAAAAATCATTATTTAATATTATAATTCATACAAAGATATTAAAAACATACCATGAACATTTTTATAATTTAACAACCGTTATTTGTAAAATCAAACATAATAAATTGAAACCCGCCCAAATAAAATATTTTACTATTAGCCTCTTATTGTAATAAAATAAAACCTGTATAGTAGATATGAATAAATAATAAAATGTTTATGAGATTTCTTGTAAAACGTTAAAAATCAAGTATAAAATAATCCACAATTTACAAATAAAAACGTACATAATTTTATATAATCAGAAAAACATTGGTTCTGCATCAACTTTATAAATATACAAAAAATGTACTTATATTTCAGTCTTATTTTGCTTTAAAGTCCCCGAATTAAACACTCAATCGAACAGAACTGCCAGATAAAATAAGATATGTACTGATTAGAAAATAATACACACCAACAATATATTCAAAAAAAATAAATCAACAATTCTAAAATGTTTTCATAACTTTAACTAACGGAAAAAAACAACAATAAAACAAATGATTAAATTTATAAACAAAAAATGTAAAGGAAATAAATCAATAATATATTTTAAAGAAGTTTAACAATTGCTCACTAAATCAAACTGATGAGCAACCGGAATACTTAGCTAATACAATGACCATCCAATAAACCATCATAATCATCATATTTATTTAGGAAATACTAAAATTTGAATTTCAAAATAAAATTAATTTTATGTTAAAGTCAATTATTATCAATATTATTAAAAATAATTAGTTGCAACAATCATAACCTCATTTTTATTATTAGCAATAAGAATAAATTGATAAGTTTATAAATATTAATAAAGTATGATAATGATATTATTTCTTCGGATTATTAACAATAGATTTAAAAAAAAAAAAAAAATAGAATAAAAAATAAAAATTAAATTAAATTAAATTTTGCCAGAATCAAATAAACATAAAACAATGAATTCAATAATATCAAATAATCTAAAAATAAGTAAATTAAACTTTCTTTAAAACTAAAAACATTTTTTTTTTTTTTTATTACTTTATATCAAATAAATATAGTACAAATAAATGAAACAATTAAAAAATTATAAATCATGATAAATATGAGATGAACAAATTAGAATAAAAATAAAATAAAAATAACCTAAAACCTATAAAGTCTGCTGTTAAGGATTGATTAAAATTAAATGAGTTCTAATGGAAGAATAACTAGAATTTTCATACTACGACAATGATAATTTAAGCTAATATAATAAAGCTAATAACTCACAGTGAATATAATATAAAATAACCAAGAAATATTCAACTTTAGTAATGTTTTAAAATTTTAAAATATAACTAAATATTTTAAGTATTAATTTCCATGCCAATATTTTTATGCAAAAAATACTCAATCAATAATAAAAGTAATAAAATTAATCAATACATAAATTAGAAAAGGAAGTGAACTCAAACCCATCACCAAAACACAATTGAAAACCCAAAGATTTACAAAACAGATAATAAATATTGAATTAAAAATATCATTAACAAGTTCATTTTGAAAACCATTAAAAAATGTTAGTTTTAAGGCTGGAAAACAAATAGCTATAAAAATAAAAATAACAATATAAATCACAATGGGCTAAATTCAACAGATCATAATAACACTTCGATGTCATCTATGAACGTTAGACAAATTGTACCAAGATGTAGTCTCTGATGTCAGATTGATGTTACATAGTTCTATGATAATTCCTCCTAAAAATTCATTTTCTTGCAATGAATCATGACTCCATATAGTGGCTTGTAAAATTTTATACTGAACAACATCCAGTGGCATTCTGTATTCCAACTGAATAAATGAAAAAAAATTATTTTTAGTCATAACTATTTCAGCCAAACAGCAAACAAACATTAAATATTAGGAAAAATATGAAGAATTGATGATATATATATATATATATATATCAGGGATGGAAAACCTTATGAATACTGCGTGCCCAAAATTACTTTTTTTTTATTTATAGAGCATGCCATGAAAAAAATATTAAATATTATATTTTGTTATATTATAATTTGATTGTATAATTAATGTATTAGTATAAAAAGGGTAGTTTAGGTACATAATAATAATAATATATAATAAATAATAATAATAATTATAATAATATTACTTTGTTAATTATATTATATTATAATATAGGTCCTATAATATTTAATAGTAAAAATTTTCGCATACCATGGATTTGCCATCCCTGATATATAATATAATTGATAATAAAATTTAATTACCATTTCCATGAATGATGGATAACAATTTTTTTTGACAACTTTTGTTTTTCTTTTAGTTGCTTTATTATGGTCGGGTAACAAATACACTTTTACATATGTTGATGGTTCCTGATTTCCCGCGAGACGTGGCAAATCTTTGGCATGATGAACCATTATCTAAGAAATTCGAGTTCATAATTTTAAATGAAATATATTACCAAAACCAATATTATTTGTACTCTCAAATAAAATACCATTAAATTACATTCTAAAATATTTATTAATAGTTATTAAATATTAAATATAAATATATTAAATATAAAATTAATATTTATTAAATATATAGATTTCAATTTACTATTAAGTAACATTAAGAGTAAGATTTATATACATGATCATTGTCTATTGACTCTTCCATTACTAAACATTGTGTTTTTAATAGAATTTCATTCCAGGCCTGGTATTTATAATACATTGTTTAAAAATGTATTCAGAGATATGCAACAAAATTGCAGGTTAGATCCTAAATCTTTATTTTTGTAGAAAGCTCACATACAATAACAACTTGAACTTTCTCAGTTTATATTCTGTTAAATATTAATGAATTCAATAACCTAAAGGAAATACCACTTTTGATTATTTTTTGTTTAATTAATAAAATGATTTCATATATTTTATTATCTTTTTCTTATAATTGCATTTAATTGCAATATAAAATAAAATAGAGCACAAATAATTAAAAACATTATTATAATATTTTTAATATTATATACAACTCTATATAATCATAGATTATTGTACAACTTACCATAAATGCTCCACGTTGATAATGTAAAGTCAACTTTAATTGACCTAAAATACGATTCTCCCTGACAAATGCTTGTTGCTTTGGTTCTATCAATAGAGTAAACTCTTGTAGAATTAAATAATTTAAAAATATAAAATTTAAAAAAATGTCACCTTTTAATTTTGAATCTTCAATACTAGCTTCTTGTTGATCTCTTAAAAGCGGATGGAAAAATGTATAGACTAAATCCGATTGGTTCACTTCAGGAGCCATTTGAAATAGTGTATTCAAAAAATTTTGAATTTCCACCCGTCTTTTTTCAGCTACTTGTTTGATATGTGATCGCCCCATATGAATACTAGTGTTTAATAAGCTACAAAATACAATCAATACTCTATTATATATCAGATATTCAAAGTAAATTTAAAACATCTACCTTAAAAATTTTGCCAATGGAAATAATAATAAGAGTTTTTGTTGAAATTCTGATAGTTCTTTGTATGATCTAAATAGAAACGAAGGATCCCTTTGATTTTCACGAAAAACTTTTAGAATATATACGTAATACTTTTCAGGATCATATCGTTTTTGACAACCATATACTTCTACACAAACAATCTTTCCTTCTTGTGCCATTCTGTAGTATATAATTGCATAAAAACATTATAGTGAGAGTTAAATATATTTTCAAATGTTGTCTAACTTATAGAACTTACGTGTATACTTTTGGAACAAAACTCAGCAATTCAGTACCATTTTGTTCACTATTAAATCGCATTTGAGCTAAATTATGCAAGAAAAAATTGAACTGAGTAAAACGTGATTTAATTGAATTTTCGATCATACGAGCAAAAGAAGCCGCTGCTTCTGGATTAGACAATTCAGGAAGAAGAGCTTTTTGCACATAATTTACAGCATCCATTGTTACACCAGGTATCCCAGAAGATGCCATCTACAAAATTTAAAACAATAATAATAAAATGTTAATAATTTATTGTATTAATGATTATAAATTTATTTCTGTGTATTAATATATTTATTATATTAATAATATAAATAACATTTTTAATACAAGGTTTTGAACTTTATTACCAATCCAAATAAATTCAATAACAAATTTCCATGTTTTCGAACAATATTGAATGCTTGAACACAAGTATCAACAAAATGTTGAAACTTAGTTGATGGTTTATCACCACCATTTATCACATACACCATATCAGAAGTCAAAACAAAAGGAGTACGATCTCTGAGAAACAAAAATATTATGTTAAATAAATATTAGTAAAAAATTATTAAAAAATACATGCATGTTATGAACAATGTATATATTTAGTTGTAAATACAAACATCGATGCACTAAAAAAATATTTATCAAATCCAAGAAATTTTAATAATTTAATAAGTACAAAACAAATAAAATAATAATATTAATATAAAAACTTGATTCATATTGTCTGATAAATTTACAAATAATTCTCATATTCCACAAAGCTCATAATTTATAAAAATATACATATACCTTTTAAAGTTCCCAAAAGTTTGTGCATCTCCCAAAAATTTACCAAAATCGATATGAAATAGATGTCCAGTAGTTTTCATCATTATATTATCATTATGACGATCACATATTCCAAGTATATAAGTAGCAACACTGTATCCAGCACATGATGCTATAAAATATTTTATTTCAAAATTAAAAACAGTATTATTTTAATTAATATTATAAAAGATTTACCTGTAAAATTAGCAACTGCTCTTTCATATTCTAGTGCAGATGGATTATGTTTGGCCAACCATTCTGCTATAGGTCTGTCTTTGAATGATCCAGTCAATCCTAATTCGACTTGGATTTTTCTCAAAGTTTCTGCATTTGTAACCATTTCAATCATTCCTTCAATCATTTTAGAGTTAAAATAAAAATATTAGATAAAGCATAAATATTTTTCAAACAACTAATACATAATATAAATAACTACAATACCTCTTTTTTCGCCAGTTGGAACACATGTGAATGTTACCATTTTCAAGTCTAATCCTTCTTTTAGCCAAAGTTTGTCCATTAACCTTATAATCTGAATGGTTAACATATCTTGTTGTAAATCATCTCCAACCTATAATCAAAAATGAATAACACCAAATATATAAACATATTAACAATATAATACAATCAATAAGAAAAAATAAAGAAAAGTAAATGACATATTATACATACCAAAATATAATATAATATTTAGCGAGTAATAAATTAATAATAACACTAATATAACACTAAATATTAAAAACAACTATCCTGTAATAATTATAGTTTATACTTTAAGTTCACAAAAGCATATCACGAATACCATAATCAATCTTTATAATCATTTCAAAACAATACTTATTGTGTCATGATTCAAACTATGTATTACATAATTTTATTTGGGTGTCAGTATACCCACATAGTATATTTTGTATATTATGTATACACATATAGTGTAAAAATTATATAACATTATTTTACTAATAACTAAAACAGTGAAAAATATATTCTCACCTTAAAAATAGCTGGAATAGTAACATTGGATTCCAAGCAATTAAAATTGATTTTCAAGGGCAAAGTATTAGATGGAAAATAATAACAAGATTTTGTTTGTATTCCACAAACTTGCATACTTGGACTTAGTGGTAGACATGTAGGTATATCATGTAAACTTTGATCAATGTTGGTTAAATCTTGGATCAGTACTTTAAGTCTAAGAGATTCTTTACTCACTTTAACATGTTCAGCAGTATCATATAATTCCTATAAGAACAAAAATGATTAAAACATTATATTAAGTCATAAATTATTTGTCAAACCTTCATCAAAAGTTGTTGAGATAAAAAACATTTTCTAAGTGCTTCACCACAAGTTGCAATCAATGCCCTTAATAGTAACTGCAATCTTCTATAATACCGTGCCTCACTCACTGTTTTATCATCAGGACTATGAACATCACAAGAGTTCTAAATTAACAAAATCAATAATACATAAGTATTAGTTACATAATGTGTTTTAATTTTTAACTTTTTTGATCTAAGACTTAAAAATTTAGAAACAATTCAATTATTATTTTATTATATATTTTTTCATACAGTACAAACCTGAGGTGATTGTCCTGGAAGTGGTTGTATAAGAAACCAATAAAGATTATGTGCAATTGTAGGTGATGATAGAGCCTTCTCTAATAAAAACTCAGCCAATGGAGAATCATCGTATGTTTCATGTTTTAATGCCTGAACTAATTCAGGAAGAAAATCAATGAGTTGATCATTACTTAGCAATCTTATTCGCTTAACAGCCAAACGACGTACTTCATTGTCTGGAAAGCTAAATGATTAAATAGCAAATTCAATTTTTGTCCATCAACATTTATTTTTAATCATTAATTTACCATGGTAAGAATAATTGTAATGCATCTAAAGGTTCGATAGGTGACCAAGATTTAAGCATTGAATGGAGATCAGCTAAGCATGCATAATCCCAACTGTGAGCAGCTAATAATACCTTAGGTAAAGCTTTAGGTTTTGATAACAAATAGTATCTTTTTTCCCACAAAACTTCTCTATCTTCTGACAATGGTCTACAAAAGGAAATAAGTATTTTATTTTCTTCAATCATAATAGTAAATATTTACTTCTACATTATATTTTATCATTATACATTACCTAGTAAATGTATCTTGATAAATTATATCTAAAAGCTGTTCTTGAGTATTTAAATCTAAGCTTGTGAAATCAAATTTATCACTTTTAATTATATGATCATCTTGAAATGTAGGAGGAAATATTATTCTTGAGTCAAACTCTTGAATTTCAATACCTAAAATCCAAGAATTATAGGTTAGAAAATTCAAAACTACTAATAAAATAAATTGCTGTACATACTTAAAACTGGATGTGAATGACTATAAGGATGTGTACCAGGTGCTGGAGCTGGACCAAGGCGTTTATCAGCACATGAAGGCCAGAGCGATAATAAATGTTTGCCTTGAGAGAATTCTCTAAAATATATTCAACAATTACATGCTGATTGCAATTAATAGAATTATAAACTAACCCATCAACATTGAAAAACTGTATGGAAGCCCAGCCAAGTTCTGTTTGTGAAATTGTAGCTGATGTATCTTGGCTTTCTGTGTTAAATGTTCTCCCATAAACCACTAAAACTAAACGGCTCTCTCTAGGTAGCAAACATATGTTCATATTGTCAAATTCTAACCTAGTTATCAAATTTAAAAAAATTAATAGATAACATTACTCATTAAACTAAGAGTAAAATGTACCATGAATCAAATACAACTCGTTTGTAAATTGAATGTTCGGCTGTAACAGCTTTTGAAAGCACTGTATTGCCAATTGGTCTTGTTCCATGATATATTTGAGCAGCAATTAAGTATTCATCATGACTCCAAGAAGAAAATAAACGATGCAAACAGCTTATATAAATCACAATATTATCAGGAATTTTTGAGGATAGTTTAGTACCTATATATCATAAATATTATAAATTTAATAATTAACTTTCATTAATATCAAAATTTCAGTATATTTTATACCTGTCAATTGCGAAGAATTAAAATTTAACTGAAAATCAACTTTAAAGGCTTTACAATAATTTTCAATTAAAGTTAATACATTTTCTTTTATTTTTAAACACACATTAGTAATATGATCTACTTTTTCAGTTTCATTGAATTTTAACCTGACAACAGAATAATCAGAACCCTCATCTGAAATCACTTCAGTACGTGAACCATACACATCCTGTTAAAAAGCACAAATAATTAAATATAATGGATTCGATTTAAAACAATAACATATTATTGGCTTTTTTCAATAATATTACCTGAATAACATTTGAAATTTCATTGCAAGACAAAACAAAATTATTCAATGATAATGTAATGTCCATTGGTTCAATATTGCCTAAGAATGCAATTAATGCTTTCACTGCTTGTTGAAGACCAGTAGGTTGCAAAGGTGTATTGGTTCGTTTTTTAAATAAAGATACAGCATGATCTTGAATTTTAAGTATTTCACCATCGAGTGTATCTAAAATTCAACAAATTATCAAACAATTTTTAGGCATTATTTCAGTATAATGGTTATTACCCAAAAGAATTTTTATAGTATCATGTGAAATTGGTTGAGATGGCTCATTAGGACACAAATCATTTAGCTCCAATTCATTATCACAAACATCATCTTGTGCCTAAATATTCATTAATATAATTTAATTAATTGATATACAGTTGAATCTTAATTTAACTAACTTATATTTAATATAACTTTCTAAAGTAAAATTTTTTTTATGGAATTTTCATAAAAAGTTTCTATTTAACAAAAAAAAATATCCATATAACAAATTAATTTTATAATGATGAAATAATATTTGTATTTCAGTTACATAGAGTATCATAAAATAAAGTTTCAAGAATATCAAACTGATTTTGATTTAATCATCATAGATTTAAGTTTACCAAAAATGCACTAACTAAGATAATTAATTCATAAAATAATTACCAATATTTATATAATTCTTTGACAAAAAATAAGAAAAACATTTACATGGTAAATACAATATACCAACTAACATTCTATTTTTTTTTTTTACTTATTACTGTAAAATATTATTATAATAATAATAATAATATACTTTATTATTAAATATAATACATTTTTTTTCAAAAAATTTAGTTTTTTAAGTGAAAAATTATGTATTTACTCTTAATAAATGTTTTTCAAAGAACTGTTGAGTTTGTTAAATAGTAGTTTGACTGTATATTAAATTATGTGATATAAAATTGTACCTGTCTAGCATAAATACGAATAACTTCATGCTTATGAATAAGAATGAGTTCAACATCTGTATCAAGTTTAATGGACTCATGAACACATTCAAAATTAATAACAGGAGTGTTCATCGGTAACATATATTCTAAATAGTTTTTTACTTTTAGAAAATAATCACTTGGATGCGCATCCTCCAAATCTAATTCACAAATCACATGTGATATGATATGTTCAACACAACTTCCAACTAATTAATAAAAGTAAAATATAATTAACCACAGTTTATGTTAATAAAATTAATAGATTAAAAAATAAAAAATAATAATATACCATCACAAGTAAAAATAATTGGTGTTTTTCTAATAGGTTCACAGTGAACTACAAATTTAGTACTGGTATTTTGATGAAGGTTATTTTCAAATTTTGAACAAACAATAATCCCTTCATTTGTGCTTAAATCCGTGTACACAAATTTTTCTTAAAATAATTTTTTTTTTATATTTATTACATTATAATTTAAATGATTAATAATAAAATAAAAGTACATACTTCTAACTAGTTTAACCATATTATAAAATGCTACCATGTCAGGGTCATATAACACAGAAGGACGTTTTACTAGACCTACATTTTCATAAGTTAAGCTCTTACATACCTAAAATTAATTAAATTTAATTAATTTAAATTCAAAATAATATTGATGTGTTTACTTTTGATTCTTTTGGAGTCAAAGAACTTCTTGGTGGTAATGGAGGAGGTGAATTGATAGGCGTCTTTATAACAGCTGCATATATTGGATCTGATGATTGAGATAAGACTGAAGGAGAATACATGTAATCGAATGGATCATACGTAGCATATAATGATTCATTTTTATCTACTAAATTAACAAATTAAATATTTTTATGATGAATTTTAAATAATAAGATAAACATACCTTGATCTTCTTTAATAGAAGAACTTATATTTGTTTGTCCATAAAGAAGTGGATCAAATGCTTCAAGAACACTAGTTCTAACATTTGTTGCAATATTTTCTTTTGGATTTTCTATACTATCAAAAAAATTCAAATCAATGAGATTATTGTTGTTTTGTTTTTTTATAATGTTTGGAGCAAAAATATCTTGTTTCATCCCAACTAATGAAGTTTGTGTTTCTAAATTATTAGCACTACTTGTTAAGTGTTGGGTTTGAGTAACATTAGTAGTAGAGCAACAGCTGTTGTTTTGTCCTCGCCAAACATTTTGAGAAGGAACTGGCGTTTGGTAACCAGAAGATGGATATCCAGTGAAATTGGTTGGGGGAAAATAACTTTGATACAACACATCTAAATTTTGTGTAAGATCATGTGACCCACTAAACTGACTTTGATTGGAAATAATATTTGATGTGTTTATATTAACACATAGGTTCTGAAATGTTGAATTGATGTCGCTTGTATGTGGCTTTTTATTCCTATCAACACAAAAGATTTAGTTGGTAAAACAGATTTATTTTATGCGTGCTACAATTTACAATAACATTAATGTTTATTATACACTAAATCAGAATATATTTATTGCATTTGAACGGTGAAATTCATACCATTTTATTACACCTCAAGCTATTCTAAAATATCTGTCCAGTAATTCATCATTTTTGTATTGTTTGAACACAAAAGATTATATTGAGAACAAAAGAATTATGAATTGACAATAATTTATGTAATTGAAAACATAAGAAATAAAAAAAGGATGTTCAAAGCCAACATTAGTAATCAGAAATTATTTTTTATTAGCATGGAATAGCGAGGTGCAAGTATTAAGTAGTATCTCAAACCGAACTAAAAAATTTTCATTTCAAATTCATCATCTTAGAAGAAAATATACAAATTAGCTAGAAAAATAATCATCATATTTACCCATCTAAAAAATTAAACGGTTCTTCATTTTTCATGAGATCATCAATTGGTGGTGAATCAAGACTAAATAAATCTTTGATTGAATCATTAGTACAACTTTTTGGAATGACAGTAGTATTACGTCGAGGTGGTGGTTTAATACGTGGTAATAATGGTTCACCTAAAATTAACATACTTTCATTTTTTCACACTTTCATCACTTGGATATATTTAAGTTAATTGTACCAAAGTGAATTATGTTACCTGTATTAAATGATCCGGGTCTGGGCCGTGATCTAGATAAATCGTTACAGTAAACAGTTCTTTCTAAAAAATTAAAACAAATTAATATTTTTTACAATTATTCTATTTTACAAGTCTGAATTTTTTAGTTTGGTGAAAAATATTAATGTAAGAATAAAATATTTTATTTTATTTAATATTTCTTTTTTTAATTATATTTTTAACTGTTTTAGCATAATAAAATTAATTTTCAATTGAAAATAAAAATTATAATTACTCTGATAACTAGTCATTTAACTAACATTAATTAATTTTGTAATAACAAGAGAGCTAAAAATCTGTAATTAGTAAATTATTCCAAACCATATTATAATAAAAAAGAATCTTTTTTACAATTTTATTTAAATAGATAAATCTTTATAATATTTTAACAATAATAGTACCTAATATTAAATAATAATAGATAATATAAATGTATAAACCTGAAAGAGACATAGACCGTGTCTGACATTTAGATGTTGATACTACAGCTTTTTCGCGACACGTTGAGGAATCAGATTGCAACTTTCGATTTCGAAACTCTTCAAGGGCCAAAGTTTCTAAACTTAAAGCTTGGGCTTTTTCAAGATCTTCTTGAAACTTTTTATCACAATCTGGTCGAGCTGTAGACTTCATTCTGTAAATATCAACTAAGAATACACTAAAAAAAAAAAAAAAAAAAAATATTTTAGAATTATAACAACAAACTTAAATGGACAAATATATTAAGAAATTAAATTATAGTACTATAGTATTTAATATTAAAACTAGATCTTAATGAATTTCTTCTTTAAACATATATTTATTATTTTAATGAGAATACCAATTAAAAAGATAAAACACAAAAAATAATAATGTCTATTTAATTGTAATTTTGAAAACTAACATTACATTTATAATTAAAAATAAAAAATATAACACTTTTAATAATAAATTACAACTTTGTTCAAGATTTAGTTAAAATATAAGATTGAAAAAAATTATAATTTTTTGAGAGACTTATAATTGCAAACTACAATAAAATCGTTTATAACTTTTTCGAGAAATTACTTTTTTAGTATATATTCTTATCAATAATTAAAATACAGATATTATATAAAATAATTTATAATTTCGAAAAACATCTTAATTTTAAATTAATTTAAAATATATATATATATATTAATTGATTTGAATACTCAGAATATTATAAAATTAAAATAAAATAGTAATCTAAAATTTCATATCATTAAAAACTAGGTCCCAGAGCGAAAATCATTATGTATATTAGCACAGCTGTGAATACTGACATCTTTTAGGTAATTTATTAAATATACTAGTTTGAAATAGTTTTAAGGAATTATTAATTTAAATAGAGAACTATAATGACTATAAAGTTAAATAATATAAAAAATGTACAATAATACTTATAATTGTTTTGTAAAATTAACAATACTGTAATAATAATAATTTCTAACATATTTTATAATTCTCAAATTTAAATTTGCATACATTGATCGTTATTTTTGTCATATATACATTTGTTATACCTGCTTTTTTTAATAGCACACAGTTATAAATTAATTTCATATTTAACTAGGCATTATTGACAAATTAAAAATTTAACATTATGGAGGTATTTTAAAATAGCCTATTCTACATTTCTTAATGAATGCGAATTAAATTATTACATAATTAAAAATTATCAAGAAACAAACAAAAATTAACATTCATCACTCATCAATAATCAGACTATTACAACCCATACTGATACATAGATTTTATAGATCAACAATAAAAATGTCATTAATAAATGTCATCAGATCAAAATGTAAAAAAGTGATCAAATATTTGGTTATTTTCCAACCAAACTAAATAAAAAATTTCAAAATATAAACAAAACAATTAAATAGATGCTGTATAATATTAGATATGTAAGATAACTCTAATTAAACTGCCAAAAGTTTTACCAACATGTTTATTTAAAATATTTCTTAATGAATTAGGAACTTATAATTAAAAATTGTTGAAATATATTTATATATATTTAAATCAATTATATATTATTTACTTGTTTTATTCAAACACAAAATTGATTAATTTATAAATATTACTAGAAATATAATACAAGCATAAGTAAAAATTAATCTGAGTATTGGAATCTAATAAATTTTATTTAAATACCAGTTAAAGTATGAAATAAAATAAAAATAAAATAAACTGCAAGAATAAAATGTTCGCAAATTCCAAAAGCTTTTTTTAAAAAAAGCAACACATGTCTTGGTAGAAAGGAGAACGACAATAAAGAGGTTTGAAACACAATAAATAATATAATAATGTGTGAGTATGTATCATAAGTATACAAAAGTATAATGAGATTGAAAATTACTGTGTAGGTGTGAGTGTGTGTGTTAGACGGGATATTAGTGCTGCGCATTATTAAAATATTCTTATCGTAAGCACAAATGAAATGGTTTTCACTTACTTTTTCTGTATAAAAAATATGCAAAATCGTGAGTATATTAGTGTTCATCAAAATCAATTGGTCGATAACGCAATGAAATTCATGATTGTTTGACGCACAGTCTATATAATTCGACGTTGATTAATCGCAAACATTTCATTGGAAATCTGCATTAGTTAAAAACTGAAATATACAAAAATAAATAAATAAAAATTCATCACACCGAAAATACAAAGTAATAATAAAGAAAAAACACGCACTATCAATATTATTATTATATTCATCAAATAATTCGTTATCACATTTTCGGGTAGTAGTCGCTGAAGTGAGCGACGGTAGCTCCTCAACTTTGGTCGGGTAATTATTACGGTTTCTCGCATTATCACGATAATCGTAATAATAATACAAATATAACATCAATAGCTGCCGGTTATCACTGTAGCCGAAATAAAAAAATCCGGATCGACTAAAATAACAATAAATTGTGTTCATCGTGCATACCCGCGTCTGCTTTTGAAATCGTTTTGCGATTGTGACTGTCGAAAAAAAAACCGTGAGACTCGATTATTACGATGGACAGCTCATCTTGTACTGTGCGAGTGCAGTAGACGTTGCTTATTCTTTCAGGGATGCTCTGCGAACGTTATTTACCGACTTGACGATACACGGCGACCACCTTCCCCGGATTGTGTTGGCGGTTTTATCAATTGAAAATGAGTGACACTCAGCTGGCGGACGATGACAAGTCGGAGAAAAACGACCATCTCAATATGCAACAACTGAGTCGTTTGACATTAAACGGAGAGAATACTATATTAAAGGAACAAGATAAATTTGATACTCCCACTCTGGATTATTTACAGGTATCATAAATGGACATGACTATCTCAGCTTTGCATTGTGTCTTATTGTGTATTTATATTGCTTTGTAGTCTTGCGTTGAAGAGCTGTACACATTCCATAAAAATTCCTTTGAAAGAAACCCCGAAAAGGTGTCATACGATAAAGAGGTACTCAACGAAAAGATTAAACAAGTGACTGCGTTGATGAAACAAAATGAAGGTGACAAATGTTGTTATATGAAATTTCTTTGATTCAGTGATGTCTATAGAATTTATTTTTTAGAGGGGGGGATTGTATATGGTAGTTAGATATTAAAATTAAACAAATTTGCATGTGTGCCATATCAGCCATAAATTTCAGGGGGTTCAAACCCCAAAAACCTTCCTCTTTATAAGCTACTGCTTTAATCTATAATAAATGTATCAAAACCGTATTTTAGAATCTGCCATTTCTGAAAACAAAGCACAATATTATTTTTTACTGGGCAGAACATGGAGTGTTACTCAACCAGTAAGCCAAGAATGTATAAATGTTTTATCCAAAGCTGTTAAACTCAACCCAACACACTTAGATGCTTGGAATTCACTTGGTGAATGTTTAGTACATTTAAAAAGATTTTCAGAAGCTAAATATTGTTTTCTCGCCTCATTGAAACATGTAAATATTGTTTTTGATAGAATATTCAAATTTTATTACTATAGACAATTTTTTTTAGGGTAAAAGTCAAGTAATTCTGAGGAATTTATCCATTATTATGCGTGAAGCACAGTTGCTGACTAATGAAAATGTCCATGAAAGTCTTAATGCTGGTATTGAATATGCAAAAGAAGCTGTTGAATTAGATTCTACTGATGGTGAATCATGGGCAATTTTAGGCAATGCTTATTTATCCTTATTTTTTAGAAAACAAGATGACAAACTTCTAAGACAGTCTATTAATGCATTTGAGAAAGCTGTTAGTTGAAAAAATACTTGGTCAATTATTTCGTTAAAATATTTTTATTATTATTTTATTATGTTTATATAGCTCAATGATTCTGTTGCTGCTCAAAATGCTGATCTCCATTTTAATAGAGGAATTGTAAGTTATTCTTGTAAAAAATACTATAATTATTGTTTAATCTATAACTTTATTTAGGCTTTAAAATACGGAGAAATGTATACGGATGCATTGTTGAGCTTTGAAAAAGCCACAATATTAGATCCAAAATGGACTGAAGCCAGAGAAACTTTGGAAGATCTCATTAAATATATAACATCAACACAAACTTTATATCAGCGAAAAGGTCAATTGAAAAGTAGACGATTACAACAAATGACTGATGTAATTTAATATGATACATTATATGTATAATATATCTATTTAAAAATGTCATATTAATTGACTTTTTGTGGACAATTTTTTTACTTGTTATTATTTATATAAATTATGAATTTATTAAATTTAATAGTATAATGAAATCACAGTATTATTTAATTTATATTGTGTTAAAATACTGATTATAACCTTCATTGAAATTTTAAATTTTATGATTTATGATATGCTTATTTTAATTATAATACAACTCCTATGAGCGAGTAACTAAGTATACCTATCTATTCTTAGTTATTATTCATGTAATACATTTAAAGATATCTAAATTAAATTTCACTAAAAAAAAAATTTTTGAATGTTTTCAGTATTAAATCTAAATAATAACTCAATATACTACTACTATAAATCAGTAATTATTATACTGAATAAAAGCTTCTGATTTTTCAATTATTTAAATAAAAAAACAATAGATGTATTTTCTATTTCAACATTATTTTATTAAAAAATTATTTAGTGAATTAAGTTTCATAGTAAATTTAAATTTTTTTTTTCATGATCAGTCTTTAAATACAAGTTGCTTGGGAATATACAGCACCAAAATAAAAACAATAAGAGGTCAAGTAATGTTAGAACACATTCCATTATCAAAACTCGAAATTGGTTTAAATGCTAATAAAGTAGTTTGTGGCCGGGTAGTATGTGTTGTTTATAGTCAAGAACCTGTCCCTTAGTAAGTACTAAATAATATTATTAATATTATTGATGTGTCAGTGAATTAAATAAAATATTTTAAATGACATACACTAGTACATTTTGTCTGGTGGATAAAGAACTGTCGTGTATAGTCGTCTCAGTTTATAATCTAGCTCAAGGCAGAGGACCAATCATTGGCGACTCTGTGGCTATTCCTGAACCTTATATGACTCATATTGATGCAACATACAAAAACCAGGTATGTTTTCGTTATAACTAAATCTAATTTGTGTAATAAAATATATTTCAATATTTTTAAAACTATTTTCAGAAATTCCAGTACCCCAGTTTAAGAGTTAACCTTCCTTTGACTATGGTTGTGAACAAGAAATCTGTAAGTGCCGAATGTGTTTCCCAACCTCAGTTTATGTCCAAACAGTTCTAAGCATCTTTTTCAATATTTTTTTTTTTTTTTATAGTCTATCAGTTCAAATTTAATTTCCTTTACTAAATTTAACATTGACAAAAATTGTGAGTATTTTAAAGTAGCAGCGAACTACTTTAATTTTAAGACATTCATAGATAAAAAAAATTTCCATCACTAATGTTGTACTTTTAATGTTATTTATTCTTAATTTTATACTTTTTTATTTATACTTTTTACATTACAAGAAAAAAATATATTAAAAATCAATTCAATTTACTGTTACTATTACAAAATAATATAGTTATTTTTAATAGAGTATTTGTTGACTTGATATTTTTCTTAAATTATGTATTAACATTATTTAATATGAATTTTAATTTTAAATATTAAACAAAATTCTATATATTTTAATTTTCACTACCAAATACTCTTAAATTGCACTAAAATTAAATATTTAAAATTTTATTGCAACTTGACTTGTTGATTTATTCAAATCACTAATTATAAATAAAATGTGATTTTTTTTAAAAAATCAAATTTAAAGTTCTTGTGAGCAAATAAAACTTAATAAATAGTTGATATTGAACTAGTAGAAAAACTACTCTTTTAAGTATTTAAAATATAATTTTCTTATTCAACATTATTAACACTGCCTTTAGTTTAATAAATAGTTTAATCAAATTTGTTTATAAACTTTTAATCTAAGATTTAATGTACATTATAAGAATAGTTATAAATACTATACTAATATTTTAATAACAATACTGTTGCATATTCAACTTGGATAATTGTGAAAAAATACATTAGAACCAATAAAAAACATATTTTATGTCTTATTATAATTCAGATCAGTAATAAATCTGAAATAATAACTAACAATTACAATAGTAAATTTTATTTTAAAAGTCACTTGTATGTTTAATGTGATATTTAATACAACACAATTAAACAAACCTAGTTAAAAATGAAAAAATCTTATTACTAATTCCAATACATATAATATACTACAATATTTATTTTTTATTTTTTAATTTCTTTAAATAACTTTTATTGAATTTTTACAATCTATATATGTGTACAATGAGTAAATTGGGGGGAAAGTTGATTGTGATGGGACTGGGGGAAAAAAAGCTCATATTAAAGTTACCTAAACAGTAATTTTAAATAATTAAAAATTTACAAGATGTTGAGATCTCTTAATCATTTCTGATTGTCATCTTGTTGGGTTCCTAGAAGTGGTTTTATATAAAATTATGATATGAGTTGGTTTGGTATGACTTTGTATTTTTGAATGAGGTCTAGTAGAAAGTGGCAGCAATTGATGGTGGGAACTTTAAGGTATTCATGTAGAACAGTGTTTGTGACGTACTACTAAATGATCATATTAGATCTTTGGATTGGTCTTATTTGATAAAGATGAGAGACTTTTACTTTTTAAGCTTTATTTATTATTGTTTAATTTTAATTTAATTTTTGATGTAACTGTCTTATTAGCTAAGATAAAAGTATATGTCTGTTGTATGTGTTTATTATTTTGCTAATAGTCTGATACTTCACGAAATTAAATTAGTAATTTAAATTGTATTAATAATCTGCTTCAATACACCAAATGTTGTATTTAATTACTGCTGTGATTATGTGATAATGTCAAAGACTAAAAAAATGTTTGTATCTGTACTAATAAAATTTATAATATTTTAGTAGCATTTAAATACATATATATTTATTGTTTATATTTGTCTAGTGTAAATAATGTATAATTTGTATTTGCTCTGAATTTCAAATAATTAACACAAAAATAATATAATGTCTGAAAAATCATTTTAAAAGGATCAGATGGACATTTGTTCTCATTAATTATAAAAAAATAATGACTGGATATTTGTTATTGAGAATGGCCTACACTCAGCGGCGGATTGGCCCACCGGGATACCGGGAAAGTTCCCTGTAGGCCGGTAGTCGTATAGGGCATGGCCGTTTTCAACCAAAAACGTACCTTTCCCTTTTCGACCAAATTTAAAATAGGTCGATTGACTTTTCGACCAAATTTAAAATAGGCCGATTCCCTTTTTAACCAAAACAAAAATTTATATAATAAATTAAAAATAATAAAATAATGATATACCTATAATTTTTGTCAATACCTAATTATTAAAATATTAATATAAAAGAGAACGATATTTTGTATCTAGTTTTGATCTCTTATCGTAATGAAAATTGTTTGTATTTTTTTTTTTCGAAAAATCGAAACTTTAATTTTAAAAATTTTAGTACTTCGCTCGTTACGCCTACCGGCTCCACTCAGAAACTCGAGTGTCACTGCGTGTCACTTTTCGGGGGGATGGGGCTTCTCCCCAAGGGGAATTATAGTCTAAGCCTAACCTAGTTTTTATACAAACCTTGATACTGTTGCAAATGGAATTATGCTCTGTATCAGGGGCGTCATTTCAGTTTTTCTTAGGGTGGAGCAAAATTTTTACCGGCCCTTTGATTATTTAGTTAAAATAATATGTATATTGCAAAGCTCGAAAAAAAGAATAATAAAACAAATATTTTTTTTAACTAACTAACTTTTTTTTAATACTATATCTACTAAGCAAGAAGAAAAATAAATAATACAGCTTAAAATAATATACTAGTTCTTAATATGATATAATAATTAAATTTAAATAAAATAGCAATAATTAATATAAGCTTAAGCTTTTAAAGGATATCTACGAGATTTCATGTCTACAAATAAATCAATAGCTTCCTGAAGATCAACTTTTGAAGCCTCATCACCTTCAACAGCAATCACTAGCAAATCGCTCAAGCGCTCATCAGTCATTGTTAGTCTTAAGCATGTTTTTATACGATTTAATGACGAAAAAAAGCGTTCGTTAGAAGCAGTTGATACAGGTAGTGTCATTAAAATAGAAATAATTTTTAGGGTCTCTGGAAAAGAGTTTGGAATTTCCAACAATTTTTTAGATATGGAAAAAAGATCATGAACTCCATCTTCACGGGTATTATTTTTGTTTTTAGAAAGTAGGTTTTTGGCAATAAGAAATTCAGACTCTAGGAATATAGGATTAATTTTGAAGTAATTATAGTGATCCAAAAAAGCTTGAAGATAAGGACTTTTGATGTTAAAGTAATCAGGATCCGAAGAAATAAATATAGTACAGGTTAAAATAATATTGTTGTTAGTGTCATTAAAACGTTTGTCAAGTTCATTCATAAATCTATAACATAAATAATTAATTAGTAATTACATAATAACCATGCTAATAAATATTGTATAAAAAAATATAATAAGCGTTGTATAGAAGAATTAAGTTATGCATTGAAAATTAATCTTTTGTTTATATTATACATGTAATAATGCCAAGTAAAAAACAAAATAAATCCTTAGTTACATTGGTAAGCAATTATTTTAATCATATTTTCAAATCATAACTCATTTAAAATATTTAAACTGTAATAACACTGCAGAACACTTGCCTATCAATTGCTGAATAAAATAATACTTTTAATTCATTCACTGAATTATTTAGTGTGTTATTTGAAGTATTCCCTACTGATGATTCAGTAAAATAGTCTTTGAGCCTTTTATCGAAACATAGTGATCTGCTAGATCTGTGATTTGTAGGAATTCCATTTTTAGTAGCAATTAATTTAGCATTTTTTATTGTATCAACCCAAAATGTGTCACTCCGCATTTCATTTAAACTTTGTCTAGTACATTTTATCAGATCAATAGCTTCTGGTAAAATAATACTTGAATTTTGAAGTTCTGTAGAAGCACAATGTATAACTTTAAGAAGGGATTCCATCGAAATCGCCATAATAATAAAAGAAAATTTAGACATTTCATTTAAAATTCCAGTTGCCTTAGCCGTTTGATCACCTTCTTCACCAAGTATACTAAGTACTTAAATTATTTCTGTATATCTTGAATTAATTTTCCTTAATGAACTATACCAATAAGCCCACCTAGTGTCCACTAAACGTTCTAAATGTAACACGGGTAAATTGTGGTCTTTTTGAATTTCAATGAATAACTCATATCTTGTTTGTCCATTTAATAAAAACTTATACGTTTCTTGCACTGTATTAAAAAAATTTACAACGAATGGTATATTTTGCAAAGTTTGAATTAAACATAAATTAAGGCGGTGCGCATAGCAGTGCACATATATTGCGTGTGACACTTTACTGCATATTCGTTCTTGTACACCTGTATACGCTCCGCTCATAACTGATGCACCATCGTAACATTGTGCAACACATTTGTTTATACTTAAATTATTTTCTGAGATTATATTAATAATTTGATTAAATAAGCTTTCAGAATTTGTGATTACATTACTAATTTAATGATGTATTTGATTTTATATTTGGTCTATAAATACATCTGTTATTTCAACTTTTCCCGGAAGGTAGAAACGGAGCTTCTTTTATTACTATACTTAGTATAATACTAACATACATATATTGCACATCGTCGTGTAATGTAATAAATATTATTTGACATATTTAATTAAAGATATTATTTATAAAATTCAATTTTTCCCGGTATGTAGAGACGAATTGGCTTTCATTACTATAGTATAATAATTATATATATAACATCGTTTAATAAATATTATCAGATGTTATTAACTAAATAAATTGTTTATAAATTATAAGAAAATATTTGTATAGGTTCTACATCTAAAATTTTATTAGGTATACACGTATATTTATAAAAATAATAATAAAGCAGAGCGCCGATGTCCCATGTCGACGCGTAGTCGACCGAGCATAAATTCGTTTCGGCGACACGGTATCGCAACCACAAATAGGTATCGGCATTGAACGTGTTAAATATGTTTCTAAATTGCTTAAAAATGTAGCGTTCTACGATTATGCGTTTAGGGCGAGTGGTCCACTATGAGTAAGGCTCTATAAATATTTTTATATAGCTCTACTATGAGCGAAGCCACCATTCCAGCGGCCCTGTGCCCCTATCGTACCAAAAATTTGACCGGCCCACAAAAATCAAGGTTGGTGCAATTGCCCCCCCCCCCCCAAATGACGCCACTGCTCTGTATGTGAACCTACACTTACCCATTTTTTTTTATTTATATAAAACTAATACATAGAGAAATTCTTTTATTTTTAAGCGCTGTTTATAATTTTGCTCTCTCAATCAACATTTCACTTGACTTCATTGGCAATACACAAAACAGCCATACTTGATACAATTGATTTTAAGATGGTTATATTACTTATCGTAGTGTTCTTAATGCATAGTAAAGCACTAATAAAGTAAAATTTTAGCGTTTTACTATACATTAAGAACACTACAATAAGCGCTATAAATAAAACTTAAAATTGGAAAATATTCAAATTAAAATTTCCTTTACAAAATTTTTTTTATTTTAACTTAGTTTTAGAAATTCATTTTTAGATTTTTTTTTTTAATTTTACAAGTTTTATATATTATATGGTGATAAGTATTTGGGAAACAGATATTTTATTCAACTCTGAAACATTTCCAGTAAATATTAATAAATAAAATAATTTAAATATTATTTTATAATAGTATAATGTATTCATTATTAAACAATTTATTTAATTTATATTATGAATTGCATTGAACGATGAGATGTTTTCCTTTTATAGAGTGGGGCAGTGGGTTCTGACAAATTGAAGTTTATTAGTCAAGTATTAGAAAAAAAGTAATGAAATTAATTTTATTTTATTCAACACACAGATTATATTTAGTTGTTATAAATACAAATTTTAATTTTTAAAAATTATATTACTGAAATGGCTTGCCTTCATTTTGTATACAATCGGCTATCCGTTTTTTCATACTGTCCATAACTCTCTGTAGTATATGCAAATCAATAGCTGTAATTTTGCGTCTAATGTCTAAATTTAGTCTTTGTACAAACTACATCGTTTCTATCCAGCATGATGCCATTGTATAATTATACCATGTATTATTCCTAAGTTTTCGTAATAATAATTTGCCGCGTTAATATAACTTCACCAACTAGCGAGAATGGATTCTAGAGATAAGGCTAGGTTTGGCCCTTCCATTTTAAATAATGGAATTATTTATGGAATAATTTTAAATAATTTTAAAGAAATGTAAATGGCTCAGGGGCGAATGGGGAGATCACCCCCCCCCCCCCGTTCACCATAGTAGACTTTAGTTTTTGACGTAATTACTTCAAGGGTAAATAGGAAAATCTTATACTATTTTTTTTTTATACCAAACTTATGCTGGTACTATGTTATCACTTATATTTATTATTAGGTGATATACTGATATCATAGTTATATACTATTATCATGATGTTAAATATTCGTAACCAAGTTTTGTTTTTGTCGGTGTTTCCGAAATGTGATAACTAGGCTTAGGAACTTCTAGCATTTGCATACTTTTTTTAATTATTGTTAATTTTAGTAGAGTGCGAAATAAATTCGTTTCTCGATGCCATGATATCAGATCTAAAATTTGAATGTGCATATTTTTGCATATTGATAGATTTTGCAGGAGAGTGCATATTTTAAAATTGTTTTGCTTATTTTGCATATTTTGACATTTTTTTTGAATTTAAAATTAAAATCTATAGATACATATAACTATATATACATGTTTCAAACGATCGAAAAAAAAATGTACTTAATAATTAGTACTTAATATTTCCAGTAATATACTATCTGCAAACTACCTCACAGATCTCGTTATAATTTTTGTGTAAGTATAAACATTGATTATAGATATCCATAATCAATGGTGTAAATAATACTATAAACCCGTATCTATCATATCTGGATATCGACCGGATGTCGATAAAGATAATAGTTGATGTAGAATAATAGTTTATTTATTTAGTGTTCAGTTCAGTCGATTATTATCCGTCGTTATTTTTGCGTCCCACAACCACGCAACGTCGAATCATACATAAAACGTCGTACGTATTTTGTAACATTGTGTAATGCCGAAAGTACAACAGTCTACGAGTAGCCGACTACATAGTTTTGTTTCGAAGTTTAAAGATACATTTACATCCGATGGACACGTTTTATTATGTGTACTATGTGATCATTTTTTTTTTAATACATATAAATGCATATTTTGATGATTTTAGAAGCATATTTGTGTATTTTTTAGAGCTATAAGTCTCTAAGCCTAGTGATAACTAATGACGACCAACGTAAAAATTGTTCGGTACCTTTATAATCAACAAATTTGTAATTTATAAACTCTATTGTTATGAGACATATTGGAATAACTAAAAAAATTATTATTAATACTACTATAGTAGAACCTCCATTATCTGGGGCAATGGTGGGGAAGAAACACATAGTAAAATGAAAAACACGGTTAATCGAGACTTTTTATTAAACGAATTATGAAAAACTTTATAATTTTATATCCATATTAAGTGTGTACGATATTATTTTCTCTGACTGTTTTTGAAAGGGCTATAGCAAATGCTGAAAACAAACTAAATTATATGAAACAAATTCAACAGACTTGAACATTTCCCATATGTATTAGTTATAACGTGATTACATAAATATAATTATTGAAGAACTTCTATTAGACTATTAATTTGAAATAACTCATATCTACCTGTGACATATTTTTATCGCTGAGAAGTTCGTTTACGTTTTTCAATAATCTGTACATAATATAAAAATATGTTCGTCCGACCTAATTAAAATTTTCAAGCGAACAATTTCGAGCGCCGATAATTTTGAAAGACTGAGCACGGTTAATCGGGATCACAGATAATCGAAATACGGTAAATCGGGGTTCAACTGTATATAATTTTTTTTTTTAAAAAGACTTTATTTAAATAAATAACCTATATCAAAATTAATATTTTTAATTTTATCTATATAAATACCTATATCATGTTTGTCCGTTAAAAATCACCCCCCTCCGGTTATCTCGGTCTGGATCCGCCCCTGAAATGGCTTAGGGTTTTTAAGATTTTTTATACGAAGAACTAATATACAATCATTGTTCTAGGTAATTCAACCATAAATTCTTTAAATTGAAATAATAATTTATATAATTAGAAATTTAATTTATACTATGACTTAAAGATATCGCTTCCTACGTCAATACAACAGTAAGGGCTAGTTCACATGAGAGGCGTTAAGCGCGCGTTAACCAAACGCGCGTTTTTTAGTTAATGTTCACATGAGAGGCGTTAAACACGCGTCGACATTGTTACCACTGTTCACATGTATCAAGATCCGGGAATGTGGCCTTTAGTGATAAACAACACTTTTATAGAATTATGCTACTTAAAAGGACCAGCATTTTTTCAGAATATGGATCCAAAAAAAATTTCATTCTTCCGAAAAAAAATTTAAAAATTATAATCGCTCATTAAATATCTCATTATTCGAATTAAAATTACCTAATGGTGAAATACACTCACGTAAATGGCTTATGTTTTCTGAACAAACTGGCAACGTTTACTGTTTTGTTTGTAAACTATTTAATAAATCAAATAATTCAAGTTTTCTTAATCCTGGTTTTAACAATTGGAAAAAATCTTATGAAAATGTTAAAGAACATGAAAATAGTGCAAACCATCGTAAATCAATGCTAACTTGGTTAGATCGTGTAAACACTAAACATCGTATAGACAAAACTATGGCCGAAAAAATGTTGAATGAAAAAAAGTATTGGGTTAAAGTGTTGCACCGTGTAGTATCAGTTGTTAAATTTTTGGCTGTTCATGGGTTAGCATTTGAAGGTAATGACTCACGGTTGGGTTCTCCGAGTAATGGAAATTTTCTTGGAATTCTTGAAGTTATTTCCGAATTTGATCCCTTTTTAAAACAACATATGAATGAAAGCGCTAATAAAGGATCAGGAAATGTATCTTATTTTTCGATGCGTATTTGTAACGAAATAATTGACCTAATGGCAAATGAAGTTTTATTAGAAATAACTAAACAGTTACAAGAAACTAAATACTTCGGTCTAATTTTAGATTCTACTCCAGATAGAGCACATAGAGATCAATTTGCTGTTGTTGTTAGATACTGTTATAAAGGGTTAGTTGTTGAGCGATTCTTAACATACATTCATATATTAAGCCATACTGGTATTTCAATGGTCGAAGAAGTAATACATTTTTTGAAAAATAATAATATTAATTTGCAATATTGTAGAGGACAATCATACAATGCTAATAATATGACTGGTATATATGAGGGTTTACAGGCTCAAATAAAAAAAAAATGTAGTGTTGCTTTATTTGCACCTTGTTTTGCTCATTCCCTAAATTTAGTAGGGTCACATGCAGTGAAAAGTTGTTTAGAAGCAATCAATTTTTTTGGTGTTGTTCAAAAATTGTATGCATTTTTTGCGGCCTCGACACATAGATGGAATTTGCTTTTGACTGGTCTAAAATCGGAAGAGAAAAATAAAATAATCGTTTTGAAAACATTAAGTAATACTAGGTGGGAGTGTCACACGGAGTCTTGTAAAGCTACTATCTTAAATTATGACCAAATTATATGTACATTAACAGATATTTTTGAAAATTGTAATGAAAAACAAGAAAATCGTCATGAGGCTAAACCAATGAAAAATAAAATGATAAAATTTAAAACAGCTTTTATGGCAGTTATGTGGAGTGAAATTTTATCGCAGTTTAACAGTGTTAGTAAATACCTTCAAAAACCGGGAATAGATTTATTTATAGCCGTAAATTTATTAAAAGGATTAAAAACTTATGTTAGTTCATTAAGAGAGAAGTTTATATATTCTGAGAATAAAGCAAGAGTATTATCAACAAATATTCTGCCCTGTGTTGAAAAAAGTGTGAGAAAAAAAAAATTCTCGGATGGTACAATAAAAGGAAATTCAAACTATTGTGGTATAAGAAAGTTAGAGATTGATACTTTTTACGTTATTATTGATCTTTTTGTTACAGAACTTGATAAAAGATGAAACGCATATGATAATGTTTGTAATATTTTTGGGTTTATTACAAAATTTGGTTCAGAATTATTATCAGAGACTTCTGCCCACATATTCATTAGCACATTTAAAGATGATATTGATACAACTAATATAAAACAAGAGATTGTGCACTTTTCAAATTATGTAATGCAGTTAAATTTACCAATAATTACTCCTCAAAATATTTACTTATATGTACATGAAAATAATTTAAAAGAAGTCTTTCCAAATATGTACATTTCTTTACGAATTTATTTAACTTTGCCAATTTCGAATTGTGAAGCAGAAAGAAGAAATTCAAAATTAGAACTTATTGAAAACGCCAGAATAACGTCCCTTCAAGAAAAAAAAACCAAGAAAAATTAAACTCACTCGTTCGTCTATCTGCTGAAAGGGAAATAACTGACACATTGGATTTTTCAAATCTAATTCAGAAGTTTAGTGAACTAAAATCTCGAAAGAAACCATTGACTTAAATTTTTATATTTAATTTAGTAAACATTAATAAATAATTAATATTTTTTATTTTTACCGGTACTTAATAATTATTTTTAAATATTATACAAGTATTAACAATTGATTTTTGATCTGTGAATAAAACTTTTGTTCACTAATGCAATAATGTTATTTTAATGTTGACTGTAATTTTTAAATTATATTAAACAAATATTAAAGGCCCCTAAAATTATATTGCCCCGGGTCCATATTTCCTAAGTTAGGCTCTGCTTGTGGCAACATTGGGATGTTTTTATAGGTCAAAAACTGCGACACACTGAAAGCACGATGGCATGGAGCATTGTTTTGTTCTTCGGTACCATCTTTGCACACAGCTTTTTCATGGACAAATCATTAGTAAAAATTTTTCTGAAGGTTTCTCGTTTCAAATTAAGTTCATCAGCCAACATTCGAACAGTTAGCCGCCGATCTTGACGCACGAGAGTGCGCATGCGCTGAACATTGTTGTCAGTTCGAAGTTCAATCGGTCTCCCACTTCGCGGTTCGACTCCAACGTTTTCACGACCATTGTTAAATTTTTTATGCCATCTAAACACCCGAGCATGACTCAGGGCTTCATCACCGAACATTTACGTCAATTTATTGTGCGTTTACAGAATCGCCGAGTTTAACGTAAAATTTAATCGCGTACCGCTGTTCAATATTATGTTTAATATCATATTCGTGATACGCCTCTCAAAAACGTTGTCGAAAACATAACACAAATGGAGTACTAATGATCTTACGAAATTCACGAGCGCTTGTATCGATAGAGAAGATATGGGCAGTACTCGACTTGAGGGGGGACGGAGTACCCCAACTAATTTTCAGAAATTATAGCGTCCCCCTACTATTATTACGCTATAATCATAACGCTCAGTCAGGTTTAGGGACGTTCTTTTTTTTAAAGTAAATAGAGTCCCCCTTCTTTAATTTTGCCAAGTCGAGCACTGAAGATGGGAGATTAACCGACCAAAATTTCAAAATTTCAGTTTCGCTGTGTTGCTACAAGCGTGACAAAAAGAACAGTCTCATGTCTTGTTGATCACACCTTGTATATATTAAATTATTAAATATATAATGCTTTTAATATATTATATTATTAATATATCAATAATATTCTATCCTACGGTAATATTTATACACGTAGAGATGTAACACATTATTTACATAATTTCATATTTAGTAATATATGTATATTGTATTATTTGATAGATGCTCAATTGTGATATTTTAATATAAACGAAAAATGAATGCTTACCTATCTAAAAAAAAAACACCTAGTTTTTCTTATTATCATTCATTTTTATGACGTCCCTTAAATTCATAATACTTTATACGCCCTAGGGCACTTGCCTCATTCCTCCCCCCCTTGGAACGGCTATGAGTCCACCTTTTAGGTATTTTATGAAGTTAGATAAATTATTTTATTAACTATGAGGGTAAATAAAATAAAAAATTTCATTATATTACAATAAGGGGTTATTAGCATAGGCGCACATTCAGTATGAAACTTGTGAGTGCTAAAATTATCCACCTCAATGCAAAACCCCCCCCCCACAAACCCCTTACATCAGTGGTTCCCAACCTTTTTTATCCTATGCCCCATGATAGATGAAATCACTATATATTTTCAGATTATTCCGCATCGATAACAATCATATTTTATAATAATATTGGATAGACCTTTTTACATTTAATCTAATATTGACAGGTACAAAGTTTGATTAGCACGACTAAAAAATCGCCTAAACTCTAATTTTAGGGGGAGGGGGAATGATATTTTGTAAAATTTACCATGGGGCATAGGATGAAAAAGGTTGGGAACCATTGTTGTAAGGGGTTTGTGAGGGGCTTTGCCTTGGGGCCGATAATTTTAGCACTCACAAGTTAATTCAGTAAACAAAGTAAATTTATTGCACTTGGGATATTTGTAACACTTATAATATTTTAATAGATGTATAATATAAAACTAGTAAAATATATTTTTACTATGTATAAAAATTAAAAACCTTACTTAATATCTGAAATAGGAATTATGCTTAGTTTTTGAGAGTAAATTTCAAAAACAATCTGTATTAAACGGTTTAGTCATTTTATATATATTATACGTGTAATGTATAAAACGTTTTATATATATATATATTACCAACCCTGACACTAAGAGTATTTTCAGTGGCTCAACTAGCGGGGGTGTTGGGTGGTACTTACACCAGGGCACGAGAGTACCTGACATTTTAGGGGAAATCATTTGGTTTGTGTTGTCCGTATACTTTTTAATATAACATAAATTCCATACATAAAATATTAAAATATCAAGATCTGAATAGATATAATTAACCCCAGCGCAAAAAAAAAAATTGGTGCCCCTCTAAGGAGCCTATCTAAGGAAAATTTAGGAGATAGATCCTCATGAAACTTTTAGATACTTTAAAATCAATGCTATTTTTGTGTAGTAGGCACACCACCGCACGCCGCATGCGATAACATAATACGCTGTATTATAATAAATAACTTATGTTTATTGATATTATCAGAACAAATTTGGGAACTGATATTAAGTAAATTAATAATATTCTAGATCGCTGGTAGCTATATTGCTATAAATACATTAGTAAAATATATTAATAAATTAAATATATTAACATTAATTTATGATACTGTTATTAAAAACAAAAAAAATAATAATTTCAAAATAATTTTAAAAGTTCAATAATTCACATTTGTGTAAATGTCCGACTACAAAATTTTGGCGCCCCCAAAAAACTGGCTCCCGGGGCAGTTCTAGCCAGTGCTCACCCCCCTTAAATGTGGCCCTGGATTTAAACCGGCAGTTACTGTCAATAAGAGGATTAATTAATATATCTGAAGTCAAAATAATTGAACAATTAACATTATAAATTTTAAGAAATAAATATAGACATTGTACAGTGATATTTTAAGTGCAACCCTAATTCATTTCACATTACCTATAACAGTTGCATCAGCGGAAAGATCATTTTCAAACTGAAACTTATTAAAAATTACCTAAGAAATTCAATTAGTCAAAATCGGCTATCAAACATTGTTACTTTAGACATCGAAAAAATAAAACTGAAAAATTAAGTTTTGCTAACACGTATTAATTATTTTTTTTATGAATTAAAGAACCTACTTACCTTTGATATAATTTGTATAATATTTTTAATCTATACTTTAAAATATAAATATATAACGAAAATAATTTATAATAGGGAACTGTAAGTGTATTTTTTACTAGGGCACCATAAGATGTAGTTGCACCACTGGGTATTTTGCATCAAATTTTTCAATAAATAAAATAAGGACCGTCCTAAGATATATATAATTTTATAGTGAGGTATTTTATTTCAATACTTTACCTAATATTTAATGCATTTTTGATCTACAATGCAATTTTGCGTGAAGTCAAGTGTTCTTTTTTATTCGTCATTATTTATTTTTGAATTAGAATCGCATCGAAAAAATTGTTTTTATATCAATTCTGATAACTGTGCTTTTATCAGTTTTCTAACATTTCAGAAAATTCTTTCATAGTGTCCGCGTGATATGAGCCGCGATTTATGGAATGCTTCAATGATTACATGTGACAATACTTTAAACACACACGGATATTATATTTTTTTTCAATTCTATTTTTTTTTTACAGACTTTTCAAATCCCGTTTTAAATTACGTCCATCGTACTCGTATATGCACTAATAATATAATGATATGCAGCACTCTGACCTTTTCAACGGGTTTATCTCGTGTACTCGACTCGGTAATGAGCATCATCATTCTGCAACAACGCGCCATCTGCGGCGCTTCGCATCTCCTCTCCGATAAAATACCCTGATTCGTGGTTTACAAATAAGAGTGTGCGTGATCGAACAGGTCTTCTGGATTATTATTTTTCAACTCTACGACACCGATTGTGTAACGCGTTATTATTATTACTATTTATTAATAAAAATTACGTCGTCAAAAAATGCAGTGGCGTAATTGCGGTGTATATTGCATTAGAAGTATATAAGTAGGTACCCTCTACTATTTTGCTCGAGGTGCAATGTGTAACAACAAAATCTTTTCGTCCCTTTCTCCCTCATCCTTAGACAATCAACACACGGTGGTGGCGATTATCCGGTGAATGAGTGGATCACCACAGCGCTTAGGGTTTTTCGTCCGCTCGTATCATAGGTCGTATGTAGATATTGTGTATAAAAAATATACTTTAAATACATTATATTTTTTTACACACTTCTCCGCACTGTTCCCCCTATTAGATCGTTATAAAAAATATAAATTTTGACATGAATCAGCCCTGCAGCCGGAGGACTACAGGGCCTAAGACCTTCCGAACCGTCAGAACCATCAATTTTTTTTTATACTTACAGATAGACAAACAAAATTATACTATACTATACTTAAACAAAAAATTTAGTGTGTGAATATACTTCTTATACATAGAAGTTAGCAAAATAGTGTAGGTAAAACATTTCAACAATAGGCATAGGAAATTGAAACAGAAAATTCATTTGATATCAATATCTAGTGTAATACATATATTTACAAACTGGTGTTTTTTAATTTGTTTAAAATATACTGTTCATATTCCATAATACAATGTTACAGAACTCGTAAGTTGATAACTTTTTTTTCGATAGATCTTAGACGCTTAGACATGTGTTCCAAAAATGTACGAATTTAATTTTAATTTTAGACCAATAATTAGTACTTTTTTCTAAGTTATTATTTAATGTTTTAGGTCAACCATAAACTTCCGAGTCTAAAATATAGCCACAGTAACAAAGATTATAATTTTATCAAATGTATAAAAGTCAAAAGGCACTGCATGTTTAAAAAGTGTGATCGGTTTTCATTTGCTCTACAAAAAACGTTTAGATACATCGTGCCCTTTGTGTATTTATTAAAATATTTTATTTGTAGACTAATATTAAATATTATTACATACTATACGCGGTATAGATCGTTTTATTATTTTAATGTTTAAGCTTGTTAAGTATGGCGATCAATACTAATTACTAGTATTATGTAACATGTAGTCGTGTGTTATATTTTCTTTTGTGATCGTGGTGATAAATTTGGATAACTTTTTATATTATTAAAATGTATTCATCACCACGATCACAAAAGAAACCAGAAAGAAATCAAATGAACTAGGTAAAGAACTTTTTATTGCAGACACCTTAAGGTTAGAAGGAAAAGAGGATAAAGCATTTGATAGTTGGGGAAAAAAAGATATTGAAATATCCATTGAACAAATCAACAAGAATACACCAATTACTGAGAGTAAATGGATGGAGTTTAGAAAAGAAACTGAGCTAGAGGAAGAATTGTGTTTATTAAATTGACCACGTAAACAATGGATGGCCTGAGAAAAGAGAGTTGCTTAAAAATAAAGTAAAAAATTACTTGGACTTTAAAGGAGCTTATTACAAAATATGATGGTTTACTTTATGAAGTGAATCGGATAATTGTGCCAAAGACTTTAAGGAATGAAATGTTAGCCAAAATACTCTACAATCATATGGGAGTAGAAAAATGCAAATTTAGGATTAAAAATATTTATAATAGCCAGGTATGAATAGTGATAACATAGAAATGTTCTTCTTATATAGAAGATACAGTATAAAAATGTCAGATCTGTTTAAAGTACAGAGGTGGAGTGGCCCATTTGGAAATCTGGAATTTTCCAGATGGGCCGGTTATGACGGGGAACTTTATGGACCGGAATGCGACAACAATTAAAAATTAAAAAAAAATTTTAAATAACAATATAAGTATAATTGGTAATCAATTGTTCAACATTTCAAATAATATTTAATGATCATTATTACAAATAAAACTTCTTGTTATAATCTTAAAGTACGTGATGTTATTGTATTAATTTATTAGTATGATGATTTATTAATACTAATAAATTAACATCAGAGTATTAGATAATAAGATATTATGAAAACATGAAAATAAAATATTGAATGTTGATAATTATTATTTTCCTGTGTGGTATTTCCACTTTTTCATACACTTGAATAGCGAGTGTTCGATTTACGCTTGTTCTTATCTAACGCGTCAGTTTTAAATTCTAACTATAGAATTGAATCGTATATTCCTAAGTTATAAATATGTACTTACATTATAAGAATATCAGTTGTCACGATTAGTTAAGAACGTTGGAATACCACAATTATTATATCATTACAAGCGCTGTTTTCCATAATATCCATTGTTAAGGTTCGTCCAGACGGAGTAGCTTTTGCCGCGCGGCATGAGTGTGTATACATGAATACATTTTCCGCGTCTTTTTTGATACCGCGCAGCATAATTTCCGATCGGCCTAGTAGGCAGTCTACATCAAAGGAAAGCCGCGCGACTTGTGCCGCTCGTCTACGCCGCGTGTGTGTAGACGCATTTTCGGCAAAGCCGCGCAGCATTAGTATTTATTTTTTAAGTAGGTATTTAAATTTTGGTGCTAACTGATTTTATACAAATCGGGAAATAAATTCCGCACCGCGTAGACACGTATTTGCCGCGCGGCAAAAGCTGCTTCGTCTGGACGCGCCTCTACTTATTTAATTTTTTTCTCTACACGACGACGCACAACAATTTACCTATTTTTACAGTTTATTTTTCCATCATGAATAATTCACACAAAATGAAAAAAAGATAAGGAGCGCAGAAAAAGAACTCAATAAAAAAAAAATTACTTCTCAAGTCTGCTCAAAATTGCACAAAGATTAATTCTTTATGCATTATTTCATTCAGCCGGTAAGTAGTTAATGTTTTTCTATTAGATAATTAAAATAAAAATAAATAAATAAGTAAATAATTGTTATATATTGTAAAAAGTAAGTTATTGTTTATTATTTAAAATAATTAATAAAAATTGTACAACACTCGTGTAAAATTTGTTTTTATTTAAAATAGACCAAGCTGCAGGCAATAATACAGTAGAATCAAACCAAACATAATGTTACCAAAAATAACAATTTGTAATACAATAAATATGTTAAACAAGTGTATTTTCTAGGCATGGTATACTTAAAATTGTCAGAACTGATAGAGGAATACAATATACTTTTAGGAATTTAAAAATGTATCGAAGAATGGGGAATTAAACACATAAAATCTAGTCTAATCAATGTTAAATCTAATGGTATGGTAGAAAAGTCCATTCAAACAACATATTAAAAAAAGCTGAGAAAGATAAGAAAGACTTAAATGGATTGAGAAATACACCCATAGATAGAGATATTCAATCACCATCAGAGATTCCAATGGGAAGGATCAGTGTAGTAACTAGACCACTTAATGCTTGTGTGCGAGCCCCCAAATCATCAAACGTTTTTGAATATTTGACCTTTTGAGGCCCCATAATAAATATTTCGAGGCCTGGGGCCCGTAAACAATGCACCCTTTGCACTCCTGGTTTTTACGGCACAGGGAAAGAGAGTTAATAGTTAGCATCCAACAAAATAAATCGAAAAAAACCTTATGGTGACTATAAATGAATTAGTTGAGAGACAAAAACAGTAGATAATTAATTATGACAAAGGCTCAAAAGAATTGAAGGAGTTAAAAGTAGGTGACAAGGTTTTTTTAAACAGAGATTGGGAACCCGGAGTAATAAAAGTTAAAATAGAGGATAGGAAGTCATATGTTGCAAAATTAGATAAAGGAAGTGAATATTGGAGAAAAGTGGACTGCTAAATAAAATTCCAGAAATAGAGAACATTAATTGTGAAAAATTTGGGAAAGACAAAATGGAACCAGAGGACTACAGGGGTAATCCATAAAAAAAAATCCTGAAAAATACAAAGATTTTAAAATGTAATAATTATTATTTGTACAGTTATTATTATAATATTAATATTGTTAATATTTTTTTTTTTTTTTTACTGTTTTACTATTGTAATATTCCTATTTTATTATATTATATTATTCATAAGTAATACAACTTATAAGAGGAAGGTGTAATAGTTATGTTGGTAATCATTATTTTGTTATTTTATTTTTTAATGTTGCATAGTGTAGGTAGTTGTACACACTCTTGTTACACACTTGGATGTATGGTAGTACGCATGTGTTTTTTGTTCTTTTAAATTAAACAAATCTTATTAATATAAAAAGTTATATTAATTTATCATCATGATCACAAAAGAAAACATAACATCGTATGTAGATACAATATAATGTATGTTACACGATAAACATTGTACTGTTTCGTGTAAAAAATGCGGCTGTCATAAGTAAAATGTCGACAGCGCGCAAGCGAAAAAACAGCGGTTTCGAGTATTCCCCAAAAATTAAACACAAGATAGAGTAGGTACGAAAAATAAAACGAACCTATCGACCCGAGACCATTTTTCGGAAACCTGTAATTTAAATTAGTTTTAAGAGGGCCGTCCTACGACGTAATACGTGCGTGCATACACGCAGCACGGTATTATTACAGTTATCACTACTGTTATTAATTTGTTGTCACATCGATTTTCACACGACAGTATTTCGTTTGCCATGCTATAAACAGTGCGCGGGTAATCACTAATCGCAGAGTATAATTTCTATTACGCAATAGGTACCTATGTTACATGTATCGGACACAGCCCCAATACGAGTGTGTATAGGTACCATATAGTGTAGTACAGTTATCCCTGATGATCTATGCGACATTAAATTGGTCATTTTTGGGGGGGACAAATTATTTCGTTCATCCACCGCCGAATATTTGCCCATAACCTATCATTACCGTGCCTACACATAAGGGTAATGAGTGTAATACACATACACAATATATTTAAAGGAAACGACGACAAAAGGTAGTTTATTGTCATTGTATATTATACACATATATTAATATCAATCCATATATATATATATATATATCGGGAATCGCTTACATATAATACGCATACAGTTCTTCAAATACCTCCGCATGGTGGTAGTACGTGTAGGCACGCTAAAATATATAGTACAGTCGAAATATATCCGGTTCACATGGTCCTCTAATGAACGTACGTGCACACAAAATTACACGTGAAGTCGGCCGGTCTTTTTAGGGATACCTACCATGTTGCCCGCGTCCATCGATACAATAAATAATATTACAACCCCTATAATTATTGGCATTGGGTATAATCCTTTCGCGGACTTCCCGCGCTTGGTAGTCGTGACATTTGTATGATTTGTTGATCGAACGACACCCATCGCTCGGCCGGTTTATTCTTTTTCCACGCCCAAGCAGCGGAATACGCGTAATACAAGGGTAGCGGCGGCATTCAGGGTACCGTTTAATATCGTCATTTCGGCGCAAACGTGTGCACGAGGCACCGCACCGCGCGTATATTATGCTGTGCTCGTGTTCACATATTATGTGGGAATGGCGAATACCAATAGAACACGCGGCGCTGGCGGATCTAGAGTTTGGCGAAAAAGGGACCTTTGTAGTTGACGATCGAGGGTTCTTTAAGTCCATAAAAAATCCACCTTTCTTCATCATTGCGGTGTTCTCAAACTTCCGAACAGGGAATTGAAATATCATCGATATTTTCAAAATCAAGACGAAACCGTTGGGTGTGAACACTATTAATAAAATTTTAAGGAATGCAAACGTTACACGACCCTCTATAAATCTGTACAGCTGGTTGTACATTATGTGGGTACATTTATGGAAATATGAACTACTCAACCGCATCAGCAAATTTTTTTCCAACCTTGAAAATATCATAATTATAATATTAAACGTTTATCAGAATTCAAATAGATGTAATCACCATTAATAGAGCATAAACTTGTTTAGGAAATATATTCAAGAATTTAACATTGCAAATAAAAGAGTTTTCATTTAAAATGCAAAGACAATACGATTTATATTCTTTATAAATAGAGCCCGGATTTATATGCGTTTGTATGTTTATACTAAGTGTATGCACGTCTATGGAGGTTTAAAATGTTCACGGTTCATATTACACCGAATTAAAACATCAAGTTTCATATTGCATATTTCGAGGGTTATTGCATATTTGTTCATAAATGCATATAATATGCATATTTAATGGGTTTTTAATAAATTAACTATTTTAATTTACGGTAAATTTTGTAATCGCCTCGAATAGAGCACGAATAGACATGATAGGTATTAAGTTTTAAAAATATTATTTAAAAGGATTTGTATTTTTTTTT